TTCCCTCTGCTTCTCGCTCGTAGGCCCTCCTTTATTTCTTCAGCCTTCTTTTTCCCGCCGAACGAGAAACTGTGCCGGGGAACACAAAGGATCCGTTCACGTGCGGAGCCCGAGAAAAAGGCTGTGTACCTGCAGGGCCGCCTCGGGAAAAACGGAGTTGAGTCGACCGCCGCAGATAAAGACGACCATAAACGAGATAAAGATTGTTTGTTTGGTCCGGCCGGCGGACAGCCACCGTGGGAGAACGACCGATCCCCGTCTCATTTTTATTTCCCACTGTTTCCACCATTTTTTGGTCATCGCCGCCATTTTCTCTCCGGTCGGACGACCTCTGTCCTCTCGCTGCTCGCTTTTCAACGTCGAACTATCAGCCGGAGCATTAGGTGGGGCTTCTTCGGGCTATTTTTCGGCCGTTTCACGGCGACAATGGGCGCGACGATTTTTACACGTGCGGGATTTTTCAAACTTTTTCGCTCCGCAACTGTGCAAACGGTTCAGTTTTTCGGATAACCGTGAATTACAATTCAGATATTAGAAGGGTATTTATTTCTTTTTCAAATGAATTGCAGGTAATTTATCAGCAGCCGTTCTCGGATCTAGAAGACCTTAGAAGATTTCCTTATTTTTAGATTTCATTACAGAATATCTTCGAACTTATTTTCTCGAGAAGCGTCGGAAAAGGATTTAACCCTTTAGTTGAGCATAATACTGTTAACTGCTTGATACACAGGGTGCTCGAAAAATCATGGTACAACCGGCGAGAAAGTGATTCTGTACGTATAACCGAGTCGGAAATATACAATGCAATATTTTCGTACAAGATTTCATCTTCGAGAAAATCGAGTTTGGAAATTCGTTAAATACGCATATAAACAATATTTGTAAATATTATATATATTATATGTATTTATATATACAATTTATAAACAGCATATTGTAACTGATACTGTTTACAAAATTTTATTCTACATAATTTCGACTCGATTTTATACGAGGAATCGATCTATTACCGGTTGTACCACGATTATTCGAACACCCAGTAGGACTAACGGCAAAATCTTCGTTCGTGAACGTTCAACGGTTGATAGTATTTTTTGTAATTATTTCTTCACTTTTATCCACTGACTTTTAATTTTTTGACAATGCGAACCGTGTCTCAACAGCGCGGATGAAGTCTTATCTTATCCAGTTCTCACGATTTCCGATAAAAACGTTCCAATTTTCGTCCTTCCGCTTCCAACACGCGGCTTATCGTAAAATTGCGCTTTTTTAAACATACTTTCAGTTTCGTTGAAAACACTTATTAAGCTAATCTCGTTTCTTCACTTTCAGATAAGATTGTGCTAATGCATGTTCCGCCCGAGAAATCTCAAAGACCGAGATACCAAAATCTGAATTCTTGCTTAAGACGATGTTCATCGCTCCTTGTTCGAAGCAGGCGACGTAATTGTGCTTTTATATTTCGCTAACTTATTCTGAAATTTTTTTTATTCTATCTGGAATATGTAATTCTTCCGTAACATCGCACCATTCATCCAAGTCTTGCAACGAATCTTCGCTTTCGCTTTCAATAATTCTCATTCTTCGTCTCTTTGATAGAATAATTTCGCTACTACCACTCGAAGCGTCAGAATCATAACCAACATTGTCTTCCACAATGTCTTCTAACTCTTCAAAATCAAATACGTCTTCGGTATCGCTCGGCTCTAAATTCTCATCGCAATATTTATTTTTCTCCACGTTGCTAACCATAGAAAAGGTGAAAAAATGGTTTAATCGTAATGGCACAGACTTAGCACGTTTTAACTACGGATAACAATTGCTAACGCCGATAACGATAACGTGTGCTAAAAACATTTGGCTCCGCAGCGGAGCCTTCGGAGTTACGGAACAAACGACAAATGTCTCCGTAGCGTAGCCTTCGGAGCGCTAAGGGTTAAATTCGAGTATCCAGCGATTACCGTTTTCAATTCCGAGCTCCGGGTCTTCTAGGGAGAATTTACTGTATTACGTCGAGAACGACCCGACGAAGTCCAAATCACGAACGGCAAAGCACTAAACTCAGAAAAGAATAAAAACTGTTCGTATGGGACAATGTATCGAATTTTTCCCGGAACGACGCGAGGAACGTCGACGATGGGCGAACGATCACGCGGGAGAAACAAAGTCCGCGAGAATGTTCCGCGGAGCCAACTTGTTGGTAGATAGTACCGGTGGTGGTGTATGGAGAGCCTAGCGCGTCGAGTCGAGCGGAAAGCATTCAATTCCCATCGTAACGAGACACGCACAAACACACGGTCGCGTCTTGTCGCGTCGCAGGTCGCGGCAGTGGCAGGAGGCGCGCACCGTGTGTGCAACCGTGCACCGGTTCGAAAGTTTACTTTATATTCAGCCGTATGTAAATGAGAAACGATCATTCAGCTGCGCGGGCCGCGGTAGCTGGCTGGTCTGGTCCGGTTCGCGAGCCGATCGTGGGCGCACGTGTAAAACCGAGCAAGAAAGCACGCGCCCCGTTCTCGTGTTTCTTTCGTAAAGGGGGTTCTTTAAGCCCCTATGCGCCGCTGTCACGCGATAAGAACCTCGACGGCGGTTTACCGATTACCCGACGCTGCTAAAGCAAACGTACGTTCCTGAATGCAAATCGACACCGATGGACGAAACGGAGGACCGTTATCGTACACCTCTACCCCCCTCTCTCCTCTCGGTGAAGAGGAAAATCCATTTGCGACGCTCGTGCACGCTCGATTCATGCTCTTCGAGACCCCGCACACGATGCTGTCTGCCGCCTGCTGCCTGCTACCGGTGGGCTCCTCTCGATCGGGACTTTCATCGACGGCATTTTATTATTGAATTCGCCCTCTGAACCGACGATTTGCACCGACAAATCGAGCCTAGGACTTCTCGCTGCCGACCGGCTCGAATACACAAGCTGAATCAACAAAGATCAGACCCCCGAGCATTTCTTTCGCTTTTCTCATTCAACGCTCCCGTTCGATTCGAGAGCAGCCGTTTCTGCTACAATGTAGCAGATGTTCATTGGCTCGGCCGCCAGGCGCCGGCTGATCTCGCCCTCTCATTGGTCGGTGTTTTTCGTTAATAACTCGCGAACGAAGCCCCGGATCTTCGCAAAGGGAAGAGTTGCTTCAAATGACCTCGTGAACCCCTCAGTTCCCGCAGATACAATAATTTTGGGACACCCTGTATATCAATATACGTACATTATATGTTAATACATACGTTATACATTAATACATGCATAACCTTGACATGATAATAATAAATAAATAAAACGAAATAAATAAATATCTGTTTCTATATAATCAACACTGAATAAATTATAATAAATCCAGAAATAAATGAAACAACACCGATATATATTAGTCCAATTCAATCTAAATGTAATAAATAACTAAATTGTATACAATTAAAATTATTAATCACCCATTCAAATAATATTATAAATTTAAATATTTCTATAAATATTCTTATTAAAAATAATAATAAACTTAATGTAAATATGATTGAGATCTCTAAAAATTATTAAAAGATTTATAATTTATAATATTATAAACAACTATATATACTATACATACTATAGTATACGTTAATACATTGCATTATACAGGGTGTCCGAAAATTATGGTATTTACGGGAAATGAGTGATTCCTACAGGCCCGAACCCAAATTCGTAGAACCAGGAAAGTAGATTGTCGATCGAAATCGTCGTTATGAACGCGTTGGAAAATTTATTTTACGGGGTAAAAAATACCTGTTATGAAACACTGCTGGGTTGTGACCCCATCTCGGAACGGTAGCACAAATAATACGGTAAAAAAATATGTAGAGCATACGAAGGGGATTGTAAAAATTCTAGTTATATTTTTAAACATTGTACTCTGTAAATTCACTCGTGTAAATACCATTATGTAACGATCAGTTGTAGAAAAAAGAAACGTGTGTTTCTAAACAAGACGCTACTGTTCCAAAATGTGTACATCAATCTTTTCATTGCCCTGATTTATGGAACGAACTACTATTTTATTCGTATTATTTTTTATTTATACTAAATGAATGTTTCAAAGTTGATTATGTTATCTGGAAACACGAATCCATCAAACAGTAGTATAAATATTTAACGGTAGCACTTTTTCAGTTCTAATAAAATCATGATATTCTATATCCCTTGAAAAGTGTTCCATAATAGTTGCTTTCACTATTATATTTACAATTATTAATATTATATAAAAACAGAGTTTTGTGTAAAGTGGTTTTTAAAGTGGATTTTAACGTCTTCGTGGCAGCTAGTGACAATAGCAACGCGGAGGGTAAATAACACTCGAGCTATTTTAGTTTGACAATGGAAGACGAAATATCTGTTCTAATATTTCCGATTCTTGCTCTCTTTAAACATTGTTTAAAGGTGTTCACATTTGTTACGAAGACAATGGAGACAAGCTATACAGTGATGTGCACAATTATACAGGATGTCCCATAATTATGTTAACCCTTGGAAAGGGATGATTCCTGAGGTGATTTGAAGTAACTTTTTCCTTATTGAAAAAATGCAAACCGCTTCGTTTATGTGAGTTATTAGCAAAAAAAACACTGACCAATGAGAGGCGAGTTCAGCTGGCGCGAGGCGGAACTGGACGCCGTCCGCTCGTTTGCTGGCCCGCCTAACGCTAGCCGAGCTCGCCTCTGATTGGTCCCAATGTTTTTCGTGAATAACTCGTAAGCAGAGCCGCGGATTGCATTTTCGCTAAGGAAAAAGTTACTTCGAACGAACTCGGGAATTCCCCGTTTCCGGATTGCAAGACATTTCTGTGGGCCACCCTGTACATCGATACTAAATATCGATATACTCCGGACGTATCGTCACCGCTATTCGCAGGCGCGATATTTCACGCCGCAACAGAAAAACCTGGAAGACCGAGGGTGACAGAAAGAAACGACCTTTCGGATCAGGCCGATGGAAACGATAAAGTCGTCGAGAAGCTCACCGTTAAGATGCATTTGTGACTCGGCGAGACGTAGTCCAGTCCCCGGTGTCCTTCGCCGCTGAAGCACTTCTGTATATTGGTCATGTACTTCCGTCTGATGGCCTGTAACGAGTAGACACAGAGCGCGGAATCCGGCAGGGGTATGTTGTTGCTGAGGGACTCGCTCTTAGAGAATACCGCGAAGAGAACGTCCTCCTGCGCGGTGATCCCCAAAGCCTCTGCTAGCACGGAGCCGGCCTTGCCGACGTACGCGGCCTGCATGAGATTGTAATTGGTCCCCTCCGTTGAACAGTTGATCGGTATCTCGGTGTACGAGTAGTAGTGCTCGTCGTCGTGGCAGACCCGGACCATCTTCGACATGAATATAGGCGTCTCCGTGTCCTTCATTTGCGTGGTCAGGAAGTAGCTGAACCCGCCGCTGCTGAACCCGTAAATGTAGGTGATGCGGTAACGGTCGCGGGACAACGAGTTCACGTACATCCTGGTGCCAGTGGTGACGGCGGCCTTGGCGATGTTCAGCATCCGGTCCTTGTCGAGGGACCTGGAGCTGACCGCTGGTACCTCGGATCGGTAGGGCGAGTTCCCGGTGTACGTGACGCCCACGTACATCACCTGGGAGACCGGCGGGTTCGGCGGTCCGGGCGCGATGAACGCGACCGTCGAGGCGGTCTCGTTGTTCGCGACCACCGCCTCCTTCACTTCTTGCACGATGTCCGAGATGTTGTGGAGGTTCCGGACCCTGCAGGTGCCCTGGGACACGACGCCGCACGAGATCAGCTTGCTGGTCGTGTAGTCGATCACCAGCGCCTTGTTCACGTTGTCGACCGGCCGGGTCGGCGTCTCCCGGGGACAGTTGATCATCGAGCAAGCGGTCGAGTCGCCTTTCGGCCCTGTTATCTCCTTCACGACCAGGTTCAAGTCCGGCGATAACTGATACAGCCGGTTCACCGCGCCCACGTACAGCCGGCCGGTGTTCTTGTCCACCACTAGATGGTTCATGTGCTTCACCTCCGGGTCGTGGAACTTTTGTACTATGTCGGCCGGGGTCGAACGGACCGGCAGCCTTGGGGACAGCAGCACCAGGATCGACAGGAGCAGACGAAGTTGCCGTTCGTGCGACACCATCGATCCCATCCTCGTCGACGTCTCGCTGCCGGGGAAGACTAGCATCTTACTACTCTACTTCTTCCTACGCTACGGGACACCACCGTTTCTCGCCGCTTCCTCCTTCGCTGGCGCGCGGGGATCTTCCTGGAGGCGTCCTCCTCGAGCCTCGCCCAGACCTGCACAAACCAAGCGAAACATGGTTAGATCGTCCCGTGTGTTCTCAAATGGGGGCTAACAGTAGCGCGGGAACCTCGTTCTACTCCATTCGCGACCTACCCCGCGCCCAAACCTCCCGCGAACACGATTTAATCCTAAAACATGCTCGCAACAGCGCGCGACGTCGAGCCGAAGACGCTCGAGGATCCTCGACGCTGGTTCGATCGAACGGAGGAAACGTTCCGGAATTAAATTCGCGGACATGCTACCGCGGCAAGTGTACGATTTTCGTGAATTTCTGGAAACCCTTTTTTTCGTTTTATGATTTTCAGCGATGTTGTTTGTTGTAGAGAATTACAGGGGATTTTCGTGTAGCGAACCAGGCTGGGATCTGCAAAGTGGAAGATTGAAAGAGGAACTTGGTGAACGAATTGCTTTAACCTTTTAGGCACGACGCGCCACTATAGTGGCTCGCTCTAGTAGCTCACTCGCTCATCGTTTGAACCAAATAATCGTCTTCATATGCATCGTTTCACACTTCTTTTGTCTTCGCATCGATTTACAACAGTCTACAGGGTGTCCCAAAAATGTCTCGCAATCCGGAAATGGCGGGTTCCTCGGATCATTTGAAGCAACTTTTTCCTTTGCGAAAATGTTCTCCGAGGCACAGTTAACGAGTTATTAACGAAAAACAGTGACCAAT